TAGAGCCTTAGATTGCTCTCTCATCTCTGTTTTTCGAAAACATATTTGCTTTATTTGCTTAATTGAAAAACAGTCGAGCAAGCGCATATACTTAGGTGTAGGTGTTCTGTACACATTGTAACTATGTATGTATATTGTCCAAGTATCTATGGTATCTATACTAGTTTGACTAACACAAAACATAATTACTAATCTCTTCTTTTCATACCATCGCACCAGTTCAGAGAATGCTAGATCAGGCGTTCTTCTCAAAGATTTGATGGAATAATCGGATAGATGACATTATTACAAATCAAATGGAACTTTTGCCAAGATGTTATTCCACTTGTCGAGAACACGGGTGATCATCATGTGATGATGCTAAAAATGCTTTGCTTTACTCTTCAGACGTCCGCCTAATAAGTGTAGCCATTTGTTTCAATTCATGAATATGTTAGTTTTCCTCACGCAATGGTCAGGTCCAACCTAGATTTTTCAAAGTTAGTGGGCGCCCTGTTTAACTTTCTTTTTGATAAGTTAAAAATCTGGAATTCTGTGTAGCACACTTTTCTGTTTGAGCTAATTCCTCTATGCTTCCCGAATCAAGGTATAATGTTTTTGTTAACTTTTGATGTGAAATCTATGAGCGCCTACCGCTTTGCGATCTTCCTCGCTTTCTTTCCCAAAGCCTATCACAACATTGCTGTTTTGTAATGTGCTTTTTCTCTTATTTGCTCACGAGCCCGCACCATATGGAAATCCTAGAAAAAACCTCGAATACTCGCATATTCGAACAACTTAAAATTGAAGTTTTTGAATACCCGAATAATTTGAAAATCAAGATTTTTTGACCAAAAAGTTAAAATTTTCGAGTATTCGAATTTTCATATTCGATCAAATATTCAAATTTTCGAATTTTTGATGGTTCGTAAATTCGAAAAATGCGAAACTTAAAATTCTCGAATATCCAAATTTTTGGACAACTGTTCAAAGATCTCATTCGAATGTTTTTTAGACAAAACTATTTTTCATATAAATTAGCATTCAATAGACCATTGCCATGGTGCACTTCATCTGTTTGTGCTAACAAGTCATAGATGAGGGGAGGAAAGGATTGATCTGTTTTGAATCACGTAACTACTTTAGTTATGACTCCAAGTTCACTTTGACAAGTTAGCATAAAGCGTGGGTTGGCTACTTAGGAAAGTGATCCTCAGAAAAGCAATGCCTAAGCTATCGAGTACAAGATTTTCCCTGTTAAGCCCCACGTTAATTTTTTTCCTTACATACTTTCACTTTCATTTGTGCGCTTGAGCAACCATATACTGGCTTTGTGTTCCTTGAAATTTGAAGGCATAAGCCATCTTCCAAAAGTGCTTAG